CTTTTCACCACGAAAACACGTTTGCCCTCGTAAAAATCATAACACGGCAGGTAACCTGCCGAAACTCCGTTGGTCACATGGGTACCATAAGCAGCGTTTACAATGTTAATAGCGAGTTCGCACAATATACCAGGTTCCGAGATATTTGATTTGGCGATTCAACCCCGTTGGCGGTTTAGCCCCGGTCTCCTCTACTTTTATACATATTTATTATGTAATAACACGGAGTCATGTACAAAGAATTTTGTTTCACAATTTTGGAAGTAAACTACTTTCATTGACCTGATAATTCAGGACGTTTAATATCTTTAACGACAAAAATATTATGACTGAAAGTTTTTTCACAATTACAAATACTTTTTTAATGACATTTTTAATGACATCATCACAAAATTAAAGTATTTTTATTAACACGCATTACCGTGCTCGAGACTCTCAAAGCCATTGTTATCCATATATTTTTAGTAATATATTTTTCTTTAATAGCATGGATGGAGACTGAAATATTCACCATTATCAGGTAACAAAAAATACTTACTCTGTAGCTGCTTCCAGTTGCTCTCTATCGTGCTGAGGGATTTCAATATTGATGCTTCAAATTTTGTACGTGACTGTTTCGATTCTTCAAATTTATTTGTTAGTTTTTCAACTTTTTCATTTAGCTTTTGCAGGCAATCAGCAATATCCATTTTTTCTATCTTCTTTGAGCGCGATTTATCCTATAAATACGATATTTTTTTATTTCTGATATATACATTTTTATCCTCATCTAACAGTATTCAGAATAAGACACAAATGAAGAAAGAAACCCCTGCACCAACTCAGATATTTGCATATTGCTTCCTCATAACTTTCCGCTTTATTAAGAAGTTTTATGATAGTAGAAAATGTGTTATGATAAAACAGTAGCAAGTTTCTACAATTTCAAGGGTTTCTTCTCAGTTGCATTCACTTACGTTTGTTTTACGGGCGTGCTTCTTTGTAAGATGCGATTTCTTCTTTTTAGAATGTTTTGCATGCTGAGGATATAATAGATTTTTTTAAAGGACATTGCAAATTGTGACTCAATAACTTCACAGTAGATAAAAATAGATAGTAATTCTGCCTTCACACCTTGTTATTATTATTCGAATTCGATGAACCTGAGTGAGTCATGCTTGAAAGCCCGGCAGATTCCGGCTCCGGCTCCGACGGAGGAGGGACCAATTTATCAAAATTTGATGCCTCATTCGGCGGAGTCGCATCTTTTGTTTGAGATTCACTGTTCGGAGGTAGCATTAATGAACTATCCAAGGAAATCTCAACCAAAGGGGACTTTAAAACTTGAAATTCTTCCGGGTATTCATCTGTCGTAAACGAATTATTTGACGACAGTTCGACGCTTTTTATCGGAGACGCTGTATGGGGTGTCGCAACACTGTCCGAAATCTACAGAAAACATGATTTGATGAAAGCAGGTCCTGTTTGAACTAACAATAAGTTGATAACAATTACAATTTGCTACTCACTTTAGAATCTTTTGAGATGTCATCTGATGAAGATATCTGAAAAATTAACATAAAGTTGTAAATGAAGAGAATATTTGCAGCGATAGTATAAATTCTCGTCTAATGAAGTTTTTACAATTTGTTACGGTTCTAACGTACCTCCGATTGATTCAGTTGCGCTATGCCTTCCTTCAACTTTTTCTTAATTTTACTATCTTTTAACACTTTTATTCTTTTATCACCTTTCTGGAATATATGTTATGTGCTCAATGTCAGGTTGATATCTTAAGGGGGAAAACCTGGTTTATAGGGTCTAAAAAATCGAATTTCAAGAAGTTGTCTTAATTGATAGTAGCACTATCTGAGAATATCCTTTTAAAATTTTAGGCCGAAATTCAAAGTACTTTTTGAGTTACAGCCTCGAGAAAGTCATGCGTGGAGCAAATATACATCTGTTCCGCAAACTTTAATGTCAACATTTCTAATTTTGTTTTTCCTCTATCTGTCTTTGTCTAACGAAATGACATCAGCCTGCGTGTATATTTTTGTGGAAAATATTTTACACGATTTCTTCGAAGCCCACATTTTTTTTACAGGCTTTCAATCTCAGTTTCAACGGTACATTATTGTTTGTGCACGTATTCTGAAGAGTGGGAACATTTCATTTCGTACATATAACCTATACAACTGTTTATATTAGAAAATATGGTTATGAGGTGACAGCATTTTTACATTTTTTTCAATTATCACTATTTTTTTACATTCCCACTTTTTATTAGTAAAAACAGTTTTTTTTAATTTGTGTACACGATAGAGAAAAATCTAATAAATCGATTGAACTGTTTCTGGGCTTGTTTTATAAATTAGTACCTCTATTAGTTAAACTAAAATGTTTTTGAAAAAAGTTAAATTAGACTAATTTTATTGGAAGAAAACGTCGAAATTTTTTCGTGAAAATCGTAACTTTCTTTCCAAGTGTATAAATATTCAATATAATAGTATAAATTATTCAATTTTTGCTTTTCTTTTAATTTTTTTGGTTTAACTAGAAGGTAGTTACATAAAGTTAAAGAAAAAAATTGATAATTTATTGGTGTCAAACAAAAATTACAATCGCTAGAGTGTACACAGTGGAACAACTGCACGGCTTGGCACTACCAACATGACTCCATTTTTAAAACAAAGATGTCAATATTTTTTAATAAAAAAATTATTTTATTTAGTTGAAATAAGTAATAAAAACGCCCTTAAAATTTGGAAGTGATTGGTTTTATTATAGCTGAAAAAAAAATTTCTAAAAGTCATGCATTTTTAAGCCTCCTAAACCAGGTTTCCCCCTTAAACGCTGCACAATTATTAAAAATTTTATTAATGTAACTGACCTTATTTCCTTTTTCTTCTTCATTATCTTCTTCTCTATGCCTCTTTCTCTTTTTTAGCAAATCACCTTGCTGTTGTGATGTTTTTTGTGACTGTTTATTTGCTCTCGTTTCTCTTCTGTGTCTCTTTCAAAACAGAAACTTTCCTTTTCTTTACTTCCATCTTTTTTGTTTTCATTTTCCATTGTTGCCTGCCAAAGATTGTTTTTGTGTGTATGCAAAATTAAATCCATTATTGTATTGTTAAAAATAACGGACCTTGTTTTATTCAACACGACTTCAAAGTACATAAAAAAATCATTCAAAAATTATTTTTACAAAGCGCTTTAATGTACAGGAATTGATCTTCTACATTCCCAAATTTTTGGGAAAGAAGGCAATGTAGTCTTTGATTCCGGTAGAAAAGTGTATTACTTTGCATTGAACATTTTCGGCGTTAACAATTAGTACATCCCCTTCTGTGTCTTGTACTTCAAACAGATGGTCCAATTGTACTCTTCCCTTAAACATCCACGGAGTTATTAACATTTCACGACCGTATAGGTAACATGTATTGTTGACAAGTACAAAGCTGTGAATTTTAATTATTTTCTTTGATTTTATTTGTACTACAGTATCATCTGTTTTTTGTAGACGAATGTATGAGGTACTGCGCAACACGATTTCCTTGTAAATACATCGATTAAATACTTTAACCGGTATCTGTACTCCATCTAGGTGATTCATCATCACTGTTTGAATCTTTTTGTCGTGTCGGCCTGTACCGATCAGTGTCACACCATTATCACTTTTCACGCAGTTTATCAGACGATTTGGTTTAAATAAATTATGACAGTAATTACGACAAGCAGGCACCGTTGAAGCATCGTTGATATTTGATTTAATAAATTGTTTTTTTAATACTAAATTTGCAATTTGATGGTTTACACCGTGAGGCGCATTGATGTGGCGTTTGAAATAAAAAATTCCATTTTCAAAAGGAAATGTTGAACTTGCCCATAGCGGCCCACTTTGTCTAACCGATTCACATAGGTGCAGCATTGAATGCAGATTGAATGTCATTACTTCCTTCCCATACAGAATTTCACACTCTCCCACAAATTGAAGCAGATCACATTCGCATTTTCGAAGCTCTGCTTCGCTGATCTCGCTTTTCAGCAGGGTGTTAACGCTTCGAACAAACAAAATATAAGATTCAAAACATTCGTCGTTGAGTATCCCTTGTAGGCATGGTACACTGTCAAATAACAGCCAAGATTCCCATTCCGATGCTTTCCACTTTGGTGCATCTTTTATCGGCCTTACCAGTCTCTGAATTTCATGCGGTCGCTTAATTTTTGATCGACGGTTATTTATTTCCTCTCTATCACTTGGCTTTAAATAACAATTCCTTGAGGTTGTAGTCCATATGCTCCATAATAGTTTGGTCACACCTAGTAATACACCGTGCATGTAATCTATGGGGAGACCCCAAACGCAATTAAAATGATTCATCCGCAGTAGTTCCGATCGACCTTTTACACCGTTTATTGTTAAGCCGGCGCGATAAATTCTTTCAACTTTGTCAACGTCTTGTAAGTGACTTTCGTGTGATCTTTATTTTGGATCGATGCGACACATTGGATATCGCATTGCACTACCATCATAAAATCCATACGCATAGCACCAACTACATCCGTAATGTCCGTTGAACTGTACGCGAAACTGTACAACTGGACGAGCTACTGAGTCCATGCATAGTAGAAGACAGTAAAATTTATAGTTAATTTTCTTTCCGGTCAATCGATGTGTAAAATTTACTCCATTATTCATTAGATCTTTAGCCTGATCGATGAAAATTGATAAATACATCTTCATGAATTCAGGTTTCGGCTCTTTAGAAGTTACAAATAGTCCACCAAGTATGACGTTACGAAATCGAACGCGAGGATTCAATTCATTAATGTGAAGTTGGATTGGCCAGAAGCTACGACTTGAACTCTTAGACATTGGAGCGCCATCTGTGTTTACATTATAAGTTAAAGCTCCCGGTAAGAGTTGTTGGACTTTCTGGTACAGACGACTGTCATATATTTCGCGTATTAATCCATCATTTGGTGTTTGTTTTATTAATTCAATGGTTTCCAATAAATCTGATTGCATACTTGCATCACTCAGCATCAT